GTTCAAGTTCCACCCAAAAAAGTCAGGTTGGTTTCGTTTAAAAAAAAAAAGATTAAAAATTCTACCAATGGTAAAATTTATGTTGGAGTATATTGATCCACCGGTTAGTTTTGAAATTTAAAGTTCTGTCTGATTTAACTAAAGAAAAATAATAAAATAAAAACGGTTGAAAGTAGATATTTCAATTATTTTTTACGCCCGGATAAATAGCTCAATCTACTATTTGTCCGAGCGCCCGGACGAATAGACAGTCCCATAATTTTAAACCATGAAGTTGTTAATCCATTTTACTAATTTTGCCATTGATTTTTATTTCAGGTAGCATTAATTCTTGGTGTAATGGGTGCCTGTCGTTTTCATGAATTAAGAAATATGAATATTGAGCATATTGAAGTTTTTAATACATCCATGCTAATTACTGTGCCCAACACAAAAACAAAAGTCGTTAGAAAGTTCACCGTAACAGGAAAATTTTGTGAAATGGTTAAAAAATATATTGATTTGCGTACCCCCACAGTTGCCTCGCCGTCTCTCTTTTTGAATTATCAAAATGGGAAATGCTCTGTCCAAAATATAGGAATTAACAAATTCTCGGCAATGGGAAAACAAATTGCCAATTATTTAAATCTGCCCAACCCCGAAATGTATACAGGACACAGTTTCAGGAGATCGTCTGCCACAATACTAGTAGATGCAGGAGCCAACATGACTGCATTAAAAAGACATGGGGGGTGGAAGTCCGCAACGGTGGCGGAGGGATACATCAACGACTCCTTAAATAATAAAATGACAACTGCCCAAAAAATACTTCACTCAATACAAAGCAAATCCACTATTACCACCACCGAAACTATAACCAAGGTCAATGAAAATCAAAAAATGGATGTGGCCACCCCATCACTTACTATTCAGAACTGCCAGAATTTCACAATAAATATTCACCAACATAATCCGTTAATTGATAAATAATCATTTTATTATCCATGTTATTAAAAGTTAATATGAATTAATGTAAAATGGTTTATTTGAGTAAATTTAATTTAATCTGCATTTCAATTATTTCATAGGCGTAGAAAAAGTATAGTATTATACTATTATTAATTATTATTTATTTTTTATTATTATTATTATTATTATTTATTATTATTATTTATTATTAGTATTTATAAATTCAGCCATCTAAAATTAAAGAAATAATAACAACATAGCCGTAAATAACTGCTCCACTACACATTCGCCGTCTGAATATACAGGGTGTTTCAAAAAGCTATGTTATAAATTCTTCCTCAGATAGATTACCAAAAAATAAGTGGATTTGGCTATTTTTACTTATATCAAAAACTGGCTCCTAACAAAGTTACAGGGCGTTAAACTAACATTCAAAAAAACGTTTTTTTGTTGTAAAAAGTTTGCTGTTGCGATTTTTTTCTTTGAATTTTTTACCATTGCTGTAGATTTGAAAGCCCAATATTCTATAAGGAGAAAAAAAATTAAAGCGACCCCCTTGAAAAAAGTTGGGGGGTTGGGTACCTTTTAACCCCCCGTAACATAAAGAAACTTGCTTTATCGATCTTAAAATCAAAAAGAACTATGAATTTTAAATTTTTTTTTATAGAGAAATGAACTTTGTATCTCTCTTAGTTAACGAGCTATTTACAACTTTTGAACTGAATTTCTAGAGCAATTCGTCCGTCCTGGACTAAACATGTCAGCAAATCTAAGAGTAGGTCAGGGGAGTTATTGTACAAAAAACGCATATAAAAATCAGTGGTGTGGTGTGCCTAGGGCTGTGCTTGAGCTGCCCCTGCAAAAACTACCTCTGTGGCATGGGCGAAGTTTTGGGGGGGCTAAGCCCCCCCAAAAACCAAATTAGCCCCCCCAAAAATAATTCGCACATTTATCGCACATCCACCCAAACATTTCAGATTTCAGAACAGAAATTAAAAAATAAAAATAACCGTGATACAATCATGAACTGTTTATAATAATAAGTCTGGCTGATATACGAAATTGGCTAATGAGTCTGGTAATATCTTCTAAATGGAAAAAATATAATATTTTTGCTTTTATTTTCCCGGGTTTGAAAATTTGTCACGTGATAGATTAAATTATAATTTTACACCTCCATTTTATAGCCAATCAACTGCTGTTATTTCAAAACACTTTCATGACAACCAGAAAAATTTCCGGAAATTTTTCTTTTGGTGGGTACCCTTAACGAAATTATACTGAAAACTTTTTGACAGTTGAGCAGCTCTTTCATGCATATAAAAAATTTGCCATTTCAGTGGTTAATATTTTATTTAATACCAATTATAACTAGGTAGAAATACACTACATTTATTTTATGTAAAATAATAATTAGGTTTTTCGCGTCAACTAAACGACTTCAAATATGACAAATGGTCATGGTATGGCCAGAGTATATAAAACATATGTTTTATATTCTGTGGTATAGCTACCTTTGAAAATTTGATTTTAGTCGTTTTAATGCATGTCTGTCAAGTTTTGAAATTTGGATATTTTGGTGTAAAACTTTCTTACCAAATACCAAAAACGTGCCTAAATTATTATCAGTAAATTTTTGCACACTCACGCATATCTTAAGAACTTTTAAGAACATTATCCATCTATTTAGGATAAATTTCAAGATATTCGTAAGTGAAAATACACGTCTGGCTGACAATTACAATTACGGAGGCCTGCCAGACTCACAAGTAGTGTCCGACCGAAGGTTCGGTTACGGTTTCGGCCAACTTTGGCTTTAAATAATATTTTTGATTACAGTTTCGGTTTCGGCGGAAAACTGGCCGAAACTGCAGCCGAGAGCGAAACTACTTTTAAAAGTTTTCGTATCACAATGTTGTGTCCGGCACAATGGCGACTGTGCCGGGTGCCATTCCTACACAGTGCACGTACACACAAACTTCTCTGCTTTGTGAACATGTCAATAAATTTATTAATGGCTTCTTTTGATCACATAAATAAACAGGTAAAAAGTAAATGTAGCTAAAATTTATAATACTAGTTAATTAGTCTAAAACAAGGATTACAATGAGATATTGCAAATTTCAATAAGAGATTGCCTTAAAAGAAAATTCTTGTTTCTGTTTCGGCCGAAACTAAGAAAGGAGCCGAAATTTGGTTTCTGTTTCGGTTATAAATCCGTATTTCGGTAGGACCTGACAAGCCAGGTAGTTAAACGAGGAGAGGAATAGTAATCGAACGTGCCGAATTTAGCGCGCCTGACGGTCATTAGACGAGTCTGGCAAGGCTTTCGGGGTGTTCCACATTAGCCAGATTGTATTTTAAGCTGTTATCATAATAAACATGTTTCTAGTAGTGAGAACACTTGTAACAGGGATCCTTACTGGACATTGCCAACTAAAATGACACCTTAGTAAACTGAGAGTAGTGCAGATTTTGTGAGGAGAAGGAAAAAATCTTCATTCACATTCTAACTAAATGTGTAGCACTTCAGAATCCAAATAAAAGAGGGAGATTTACCTAACTTGAAGCCACTCCAAATCCTACACTTCCTTGAGAAGATATAATTAGAAGGATCTTTATTCGCGATTCAAGTTAAGTGATACGCCCTCTGGAGGAAATTTGTAGAAGGTCCCTATAAGTAGGATATCGTTCAGTGTTGCCAGAAGTAGCAAAATTTCGCTACGTCGTCGGATTTTAGCTCTTGAAGAAGTGGATAAGACCTTTTATTTAAGAATCAAAATTTGTGTATAGTAATATGTAATCATACTCTATATTTATTTAAGGACTTTTTTATAAAACCGATTTATTATATTAATTTTTTTTTAATTTCAGTTCATTTATTAATTTTGTTTTAAAATCAATTCATCATTTGGCAACGAGTTCATTGTTTACATTTTAATTTGTATCAATTACAATTCGAGTTTTTCTTACTTTTTAGCTTTAAATTTGTTTATTTCTTATAGTATGTGATAGTGTTTATGTTAAAAATGAAATCTGCGAAAAATTCCCCAGCAAATTGCAATTTATATGGTGTTAATGTCAAAATCAAAACTGAAGTACCTATTCATTATTTTCCAAGTGCAAGTCGTAAAATTTAGTTTTTTACCATAAATGGATATCTACAAATTCACAATATTGAAATTTTGCAAAACTTTGTTTAGAATCGATATATGATATTTTATCCATTTTCATAGATTCGCCAGAATTTTTTTACTTAGCTTCAGTAGGTATACCTCTAGAACTATTATATATTATATAACTAGGGCTAGGACTTTAGCCCCCCCAGATCTGATGACATAACTTCGCCCATGCTCTGTGGGTAGACTATTTTTTTCTGCAAAAGAAAAATAAATTTTCTATATGCCTAGCACACGTTCGGTCGCTACATTTCATTTTTTGACACTTAATAATTTTCAGTGAATAAAATCCCAGAAAAGAGAAAATCAGTCTGTAACATTTTTCATTATCTGACGGTCTATTACATAAAATCGTTATATTTTTTTTACAATGTCTTTCACGAATAATATGCAATATAATACTGTATTTTTTCATGTTGTTCTTTTTGGTAAATTAATTATTAAATTTGATATTGGTATACACATAGTTTATGATGATGTTGATCTATATTGATGAAACCCATATTCCCTGTCAAACCTATTCATTAACTAATTATTAGGAAATTTAAAGTATTCTATACAGAGAATTATTTATTTTTGGTATATCCATATAAACTTTTTATCTCAGAAATTCAAAATCGTCCACGTAAAATATTTGATAAACTAGTATTTCATAAAGTCGAATACTTTTATAAAAATGTAATTTTATTATTGCAAATATACAATCAGGTAAATAAAGGTATTTTAACGTTTTATGTTTTCGAGTTTTTTGCAAGGCCACTCTCAAACTTGTTTTAATTGGATACCTACGATAAAAAAATATGCCGTCAAAGTGTTTATTACTAACGTATTTATTATTTAGCGAGGTTTCCTCCGTTATTATTCTTAATTTAGCAATTTGGTGTTAAATTATATTCAATGTCAACAATGAAACTTGACTTCAAATTCACCGCTGAGGAACTAATTTCCAAAGGAAAAACAACCGAAGAAAACGTAGAAAAAATAAGGAATTGGTTATCTACTGCAAAAGAAAAATTTATTCCTATTGAAATTCAGGACGAATTATTGGTGCTGTTTTTGTTATCGTGCGACAATGATATAGAAATGACAAAGAAGACTATAGTGTCTCATTACAAGATAAAAAAGGATGCCCCGGATATATTTGACCAAAGAAATACTGAGAGGGAAGATATTCAAAAGGTTTTTAAAACTTTGTAAGTTCACAAACAAGTTAATTGATATAGTTAAAAATTGAAAAAGAAAATGCGATTATAAAAAAAAACTAAAATATTTCAAAATGTTAGTTGCAAAAGTAATAGGTACATCATTAAAACTATTATACATAACACTACTATAAATGGTTTTAAGAAAATGGCCAATGCGTTTAACACTTACTATGCAAGTATAGGGAAGTATATATGGCAGTTTTAGTTAACAAACCCATAAAAAAATAATTTTCAATATTTTTATTAAACTACTGATGTCACTGAAGTGGTTAATTTAATAAAACATTTGAATATAACTAAATATCTAAAGCCTTTATTACGTATAGCAAATTAAATTCTTGAAAAAGGAAGTTTCGGAATATACTCGAAACTGCAATCATTATTAAACCAGTATTTAAAAAGGCCACAAGAAAGAAATATCAAATTACAGACCGATATCACTAATATTTTTTTGTGCTGCCACTTTAGAAAATGCGTTTTTCCGTTAATTTTTTAGCTTGGAAAGCGCGTCGTTACCAGTCTAGATCGATAAATTCACATAACTGCTCGGAAAAGTGACAGAACAGTTCGGAAAAGTACCGTCCAAGGGGTAATTTCGATCAAATATAAAGGTTTTTTTAGCATAGCGCCTAATTGATTCAATTTTTTTAAATGAAATTAAAAATAAAGGTACCTTAAACATTAAGCCATTTGATAAACCCATCATCAGTTTTTTTAAATGTTGTCATTCAATTTTTATTTTTCCTCAAAAAGTGATCAACTTTATCCCGCATATTGGATAAAGTCGATCACCTATTCAAAAGCATAAAAAATCGGTGTCGGGGCAGATGCGCCCTGGTACATTTGAGCCCCCGATTCCCTGTCTTGATTTTTCGAATAATGATAAAATTTAAGTGAGACAGTTGAGACACTACCCCTATTAATCCCATACAGAAGTCGAATAATGAAAGTAGATTTTTTGGTTTACTGATATATACAGGGTGTTTCAGAGTTATAAGTACATACATTAACTGTAAGTGTAAGACACTTGGATGATTCGAAATCACCCATTAATAATGGAATTTTTATTTCATCCTGTCTTTATAATACTTTTTAAACAGAATAAATAGATGTTTGAAATAAAGCAAAAAGTAATTATTTCTAAAATAAAAACAAGGTTGCTAGGCAACACATTACAGTATCTGATACTGTTATGTTCCATTTCCCGGAAGCAAATGAGTAATATATTTATTAGTAATACTGATATTTAATTGTGAAATAGCAAAAATTATCTTTAAAAGAAACTATAAGTAGATTTGCTGGATAGAATGAAATAAAAATTTTTGTTTGGTTTATTGACATTATCTATTCTCAGAATATATTAAGCATATGTTACGTGACGTTGTTTATACGTGCTATGCAGATACTGAGAATGTACTTCAAGTATGTGTACAGTATGCAATAGGTATCTACTTTAATTTGATGGTACGTTCTAAGTATATGCTAAGTATATAAATATAGCATATGCTAGGCATATACTAGACACCCTAATACAGAATAATTGTATATAATGAAAGTCGTGACCATTTTTTAAATCTTTATTTCAAAAAATTTATACTTATTCTTATTTTTATCACGAATTCTTTCTTTGGCCTTAACCAACCAATATTTTATTGTATCAATGGCTTGAGTTTCATTTGCTTGATTCCATAGGGTCTTCATTGAACCTAAAAAATAAAAAAAATCAACAAACTTGGTACATATACAAATTAAGTGTACATAGCTAATTAAACATTTTAAATATTTTTTTCGAACGTAAAACATTAAAAAATGTACATGGCATTACACTAACAAAAGCAAGAGTTACATAAATGATTATTATGTTTACTAAAAGTTTAAATATATTTTTGTTAATTACTTACCACCATTTTGTAGTTTTCGTCTTCCTTTAGCTAATTTTCTAGTTCATCCAGGTCAATTTCTGGCCTTACAGGACTTTTTTCATAGAAAGTGTGTATGTAATTCTGGTAACACTGTATTTTAGTTTCAATCCGCCATTATAGTATTAACCATATTAATAAATTCACACACACTGGCATTTGGGATATCCTGTGTTCTAACATCACTTGTAGGTCCTAAAAACTAACAATATAGTAAAATTTGTTTATTTTTATATAGAACACACGATGCAATTATTTTTTATTAATTTACTTACTTATTACAAACTGAAACAATATCAAAAAAATTTGTGGGAATTGAAGGTTATGTTATTCTTCTTCTTCTTCTCTTCTATTAAGGTTGTGTAGGTTTTTTGGCCTAAACACTTGCGTGCCTTTGCTAGCGAATTATTAGATCGGCATCTGGGAAAAATTCATATAGATATGTATATAAACGTGTTTTTACATGTATTTGGTGTTATTTTTAACCTAAAAGCATTTAGAACATTCTCAGAATATGAGGTACATGCTGGGTATATGACTTTTAGTATCTTCTAAGAATGTCTTGTTATAGCACGTGCTCAGTATATACTTTTTGGAATATACTTTTAAGGCACGTACTTAGTATATACTTTCTAGAATATACTTTCAAAGTATATACTAGGTATGTTCTAAGAACATTCTAGAAAGGACATACTAAAAAGAATATAAACAGAACGTTCTTAGTATATTCATAGAACATTGATGTTATGTGGGATTACTAACGGTCTTATTTTGATGGAACCAAAACCTTTTTAACAACCCATGTCTAACAAGAAACAATATTTTCACAATTTCAGACAAATGATCAATTTACCCGAAAGAACTGATGAAGATAATGCAATTATCTATTTTCGTTTGAGAGATACAAATTGGAGAAATATGGAAGTTACACCCATTATGAAAGCCTCCTTTATGTTGATGGATATAGAACAGAAAAAAATGTTTCCAAATGGTATCGTTTATCTGGTAGACATGGAAGGGGTAAGAAAAATATGCACCAATATTAAAAGATTTACATTTACTTTTGACAAAACTTTATTGGACAATACGAGTACCAAAATCTGTAAAGTTCTAAAACCAATAAATATCAAATGTGTCAAGATCTCATACTCGTATCAATCTGAAAAAGACAGAATGAACTATTTTTCATGTTTCAGTATTCTAATACCCAGTCAATGAACCCAAAACTAGTGTAGTTCAAGAAATATAGTTCATAAATATACGAGCCCTAACACAAAAATGTTCGGACATCAACTGATTTTTCGTAAAAGTTTGAAAATTTCCTTAAGGGATTCAATATAATGTTTTACATTTATAAGACATAATATGTATTGTTTTACATTATATTTATGATACTGTTTTCAAATAAACTGATGTTGATCAATAAAACTAAGCTAATGTTGATAATAATGCATATTTATTGACACATAAATGTTCGGACAAATCACATCAATAGCTGGTTGCATCTCCCTTTGCCTTAATAACAGCATTTATTCTATCAGGCATAGTTTTAACAAGCTTTTCGCAATCTTCCGCGGTAAAAGAATCCTATATATTTTACAATTTTACCCGCAAATCAGAAATGTTGCACTGTGGATAATTTCTTAATTGCTGCTTCATCTTGTGCCATACAGTTTCGATTATATTTAGATCAGGGCTGCTGGAGGGCCAGTCAAGGACGGAAATATTCTTGTTCTGCAGCCACTTTCTTGTGGTCTTGGCTGTATGGCAGGAGGCGCCATCTTGTTGAAAAGTAAAGTTTCCATCAGGTGATAAAATTGGAATTGACATTAACAAATTGGTTTCAAGAATGTTCTGATATTTTTCTGCGTTTACAATTCCGTCTATAAAGTGCAGTTTTCCAACACTGAAACCAGACATGCTTCCCCATACCATAACACCTGATGGAAATTTTATTTTTCTCTTTAGGCAGTCTTTGTGAAAGGCTTCATTTTTGTTTCTTATAACACGTGATCGATGGTTACCTACGCAAACATCAAATTTTGATTCATCGCTAAAAATTATTCTTTTCCAGTCTTCAAAAGTCCACATTGCCCGTTCCTTTGCCCACGCTAATCGTCTTTTCTTTTGTTTTTCCGTCAGCAACGGCTTTTCTTTTGCCTAAACCAATGAGTTCACTACATAAATATGAGATTTTCCTTAAACGTAACCTACGTACCTTATAAAAATGTAAACCAGACTTATGGATCCAGCGACGACACGTTTCTCGTGAAACATTTCCAATTATTTCTTTGTTCCATTTTGCTGTTATTTCCCTTACAGTACTTCGGCGATCAGTTTTACAAATCCGAACAAGAGATCTTTGCATTCGGGAAGTGACTTTGCGTGGCCGACCAGCACCATGTCTTGAAATTTGAGTTGAACCCGTTTCTCAATATTTTTTACAATACCTGACACCGTGGACTTTGCGTCATTTATTTGTTTAGCAATATCCCGAAAGGTTTTTCCTTGGTTAAACAGTTTTACTATTAATTCTCTAATTGCACCATTTGTTGCTTTACCACGCGACATTTTGGAGCCAATGGGCCATGTTCACATGTGAAAGATGCTGTTTTATAAATTATATTGTAATAGTTAGTCGCTATACAAGTTATTCTAAATAGTCAGTTCGTTAAAAAAGCCAAAAGTTTTTAAATTAAGCCCAATTGAAATTTAAAATTTGAGAATATACGTCATCGGGAATAGACCAATCATCTTGTGTCGAAGTTTTTTTTGTTATAGAAAACCAAGCCAATGAACAAACCGACACACAGAATGTCGAAGTGAACGCACATCTAAGTGACATTAAAATTGACACCACCTAACACCTAACCTTAGTTTTTTGTTTTGGTTTAATTTTATTATTAATATGAATCAGCTGGATTTATAAAAGTTGAATCAAGTGTTTTACCCATTGTAAACGAAAATATGATTACCGAGATGATTACTGCATTTTTTAACAATACTCAGTTTACAAAAGACAGAAAGGTAAGACTTTATTTATAATTTGTTTTAATAGGTAGTTACAGTTTATATGGAGCAATACACCTTATAGTAAAACATATTTATCTCAGGTTTTATTTTTAGATCTGCCAAGCAAGAATATGGAGATAATTTCTTTTTCCATAAGAGAGAAGGAGACAAATTACACCTAAACATAAAGTACGGCAAAAACCTTATGATGTGGTTGTTGTAATTAACAAAAATGAAAATTTTATTGCACAATGCTTAGGATATGCTGCATCTCAAGGTTTGTAATATTTATTATGCTTTTTTGTTTTTATATCACATATAATAAACAGTGTATAAGACCCTTTATTCCTATCAATATTTTTTTTCTAATTTTGACATATAAAGAGACATTTTTTGTAATCGCAGCAAGTGTTAAAATAATTTAGAAATAGATTTTATTAGTGAACTTAGTAATAATTATGATACCAAAGAATGCTGCAGAGCACCTATGAAATTTTGAGTTAAAAAATATGCCATATTTTTAGGCTATTTTTATACCCTTTTCAAAAATTGTATGCTCCTCGTTTTGTGCAAAACTTAAAATGCTCTGATAGCTTCGAACGAAGTCAGCAAAGCACCTCTGTTTAATAAAGTTTTTTCTGTAAAAACAGCAACACCATATATTTATGCACTTGCACTTGAAATATTAAAAAATATTAAAATATATTTAAAAAATACATGGTGCTTGCTAACCTTCGAAAGCTTTTTTCTAAAAACCACACCCCATTTTTAGACTCTTGAAATATTGTAAAACTTTACTAAAAACATTGCTATTTTTAAATAATACAGGTTGCTTTGTTGGAACAAAGTCAGCAGGACACTTCAGTTTTTTAATTTGTTTTTTTATATATAAAAACAACTACTTATGACACATGTTTAGGCTGTTTTAAAATCCTAAAAATGTGGTAAGTATATTTGTTTTCAGAAAAAAACTTTGAAGTCAGCAAGGAATTGCGAATTTTTTTAAAAATGCCAAATTTCGAATATTTTATAATATTGTAGGAGCCAAAAAACGTGGTGTGGTTTAAAAAAAAACTGGGGTGCTCTGCTGGATTCGTTTGAAGCTAACAAAGCATCCCATAATTTTTTATTTTATAATATTCAATAGCCTAAAATGAGACATAGCTGTTTAAACAAAAAATTGTACTTTTAAAAATGGCAGTTTTTTCGAAAAGCTCTATAATATTTCAAAAATGTGAAAATGTGGTGAGATTGTTTTTTTTAAGTTTTGAAAATCCGAAGTTCTTTACTGGATTCGTTCAGAGCTAGTAAAGTTCTGCTCGTCTTGTTACATAAAATAAGGCATTTTGTAGCTGGTTATATAGTTATTTTGTAACTGCATATCTAACCCTTTTATTTTTTTCAGGTGGTTGTAAATATGTGGCTTTATATAAAAAGTGAGGAGCCATCTGTAACATCTACTCAGTGTTATTGAAAAGGCTCTAATTTATCAAAATGCGTAAATATTGATGTACACTTGGCTAGATTGTTAAAGAAACTTCTTCATCCACTACAAGAAAATAAATCAGTACTTCTATAATCTTAGGATTTGTATATATATTTTTTATTTGTAAATAAATTGTTTTTTACTTCATTTTTCTCATTTTTTTATTAAAAGGTTAATAAATAAAATTTTCACAGATTTTTATATTTTTATTTGTAAACAATAATTGAAGAGTTTTTATTAAAAATCACCAATGTTAATAATAATAACTTAAGTCAATATTATTCTTTCTCCTTTTTTAAAGCTACTATCAATAAAGGTATTACTTTAGCTTCACCTATGATCAATTTTTAATTTTGTGATATATTTGATTTGACAGAAAAAAATTATAACCCTTTGACATTGGTTGTTTTTACTTAGATTTTCATAAAAAATAAACGGAACTGCAAACATGTTTTACTATCGTAATAACGAATAGCAACATTAAATTTTTTTTTTTTCACCTTTATCACTGTTGTCATTTTCATAAAGGATTGATAAGAAGGCACACTTTCTGGTTTTTTGAAAAAGGTGGCAAGAATTGTGATATTTTTAAATTTATCACTAGTGATATCACCCGATTTATTGGAATATATCTACCACATTCAACTGAACTTGGTTGTTTTTAATATTTATCCCTGTGACATAGTCGTTTTTGTTAAAATGTTTCATTTTAAACTGCTGTAAATAGGTGCCTTTGTTTTGGTAGTTGTAGTCCCAAAAAAATCTATGCATATACAGGTACTCATTCCTCTTTGATTTGCTCGAAAAGTTAAAATTTTATAAAAAATTACATTGGCTGTTTAAAAACTCATTATAATCCCTGAAATGTGATAATTAGGTAAATTAAATTAAAAAACAAACAAAAAAGTTTATTAAATTAATATTTACTCTTACAAAATAGGTTCTTGTAAGTTAACAAGCAATTATGCAGATATTACTAAGTAAATGTACTTGCTTAAAATTCACACACGAATGTGGTTTTAACATGTTAAATTAACTAACCCTTCTTATAACTCTTTCCACATGTATTCTTAGAGATGCTATTCTTTTACTTAATTGTACATCTTCTGGAGAACTTTTTTCATTATGTGGTATACTAGGTGTGGCTTTACTAAAGTGCATCCCATGTTTTCAAGTAGCTGAATATTCTGAAACCCTTATCTGCCATTATATGGGATCCAGGAACCAGTTTGTTTAACGACCCACATTTTTCTATTATTTCTTTATCACTAGTTCTTCCACAAAATGATGAATAAATTCGGTATCTTCAAAACTTTCAGGAGATTCTGCATTTTCTTCCAGAAGGGTTTTTAGGTTATACACCTAAGAATTTATAGTAGCCTCATTTTCAATTTCCTGAAGGGGACAATTAGAAGAAATTGCTGCTACATCTTGATAATCCGGTGTATTTTTATTAAAAAGTTCACGAGAAACATCGTTAGTAGAAGGTTGATTTTCTTCTTTCCAAATTTCTAGTAACACTAATAAATATTTTTGAAGATGAATGTGAATCATTATCACATTCTGGAACAAAACACTTTTTCGTAGTCATAATATTTATAAAAAGTACAAAATTAAACACTCAAATTCCAAATAAATTCTTGATGGAGACACTATGATGACAGATGCCATACACAGTGCTGCCATTTTGCCATTTTCTGAATTAATAAGTGACTTTTAAAACAATGAAACTTTAAAAATGGTAAAAGTTTAAACAGAAATAATACTTTCAAAAAACATTTGATATTATATATTTAAAAGATATTTGTTTAACGATGTTTTAGAAGTCTAAAAGTAAGAAGGAGTACACAAACGAACGTACAAATGAATAGATAAAAGAAAAATAAAAAAAAATGTAGTTTTATTTTCAACATTTTTGAACATTTCCCATTGATAATCGAATTAATTCTCAAGTTAAAATGTCAAAATAGAAACACTTTTTTGTTTCCATTTGTTTTACTAACGTGTCCGAACATTTATGTGTCAGCAAATATTGCATTTTTATCAACATTAATTTAGTTTTATTAATCAATATTAGTTTATTTGAAAACAATTTCATAAATATGATGTAAACAATACATATTATGTCCTATAAATGAAAAACATATGATATTGAATCCCTTAAGGAAATTTTCAAACTTTTTCGCAAAATCAGTTGATGTCCGAACATTCTTGTGTTAGCGCTCGTAGTTCAAGAAATATAGTTCATAAATATAGTTTAAGAAATATAGTTGAAGAAATATAGTTCAAGAAATATAATTAAAAAAATATAGTTCAAGAAATATAATAAACATAATTTTTGTGAATTATTTAAATTCATTTTGTATTTAGTTTTTTATTAAAACTTTTAATTTATTACTAAAATGTTTGTATTCTATTTTAATAGACAATATTGCTTTTTATAGTTTTTATATTACTATATTTTTTTATTTATCATTTCTAGGAAACCATTCGTTCGTGCTATTTTTATGAATCTTATTTTTTATTTCGAACTTTCTTATACGATACTGCCACTAAAAAGTGCTAGACAACATAGCACAGGTCGAAATGATGCAGTACAATAAAGCGCAGGACGAAATAGCGCAAAATAAATAGTGCAAAATGGCGTTAGGACGTAATAGAATAATGATAAAACAGCGAGCGTTTAAAAAGTCATTGGGTCAAAATATTGCAGAAAAAATTTGCCCGTTAGGCCGCACAGATTAGGTAAATCAGTTAAGTTTTTAATTTTTCTCATTTTATGAATAATTTATGACAAAACGGGTTGTTTCGCAAAAAAACATGCATAAAATAAGAAAAATTAAAAAAACTTAACTTATTTACCTCACCTGTGCTGCCTAGAGCGCTCTGCGATGACACAGTCTAGATAAATTCGTATTTTTTTATTTATTAATTTTATTAAATAATACTGAAGGGCTTCTCTAGGCATATTATTCAAGCAACATAAAGTTTTTTTATTAATTTATTGCAGACAGAAATACATAAAATTCTTTATAAATCTTCAAGGCGTTATTCGACCCATCCCTGTTTTCCACCTAACCTAAAGTTTTCTTCTAGTCTTCTAGTCTAATACATTCTAGAACAATTTTTTGGATCAGATGATGTATTTACAGCATTCCAATCAACGACGAACAACTACTAGACTGATTTTGTTTACAAAAACTCAATTGCAAGCATATATGGTGTTATCCACGTAGTTGCCAAATTATTTTAGGAAACTATGGAAGAGTCTTGTTTAAAGGATTGTTTGTCCAAATCGACTCAACATAAAGCTCTGAGAGGCAGAAATGATTTTAAAAACTACATTTAGGAAGTATATTTGCATTCTTAGTGCCAGGTATTATCTGTTTAATGTATTTTTATGGTTGCAACTGTTATTGTAGCTGAAGGTGGTTTACAGTAATGTACGCCATTTTTTTGTACAGTGTAAACGACAAACTATGCCCACTCAATTTAGCAGCCTTCTCGCTCTTTCTAATGCGGCAACTCTGTCTGTCTAATAACACAATATTTGCAATAAATTAGGCCTTAATTAGGAATGAATGGATTACTCTAGTAGTTTTTCGTCGTCGATTCTAATTTGTTTTTAAATAATTTCTTTGTTTCGGATTTTATATTAATTTTTTGTTTAGCTCATTAAAAAACATGGTCTACGCATGTTTCCCTATTATCTTGTATTCTTGTAGGCTAATCTATAGTTGATATATACCCAAATTCGTTCAGAAAATTTTAACTCACCATCGGATATGTAGACCGTTGGGTGTATATTATCGTCTGTTTCTATTTCAGACATTTTATATTGTTGTATTCGGTACGGAAGCGTTATCTTGTGTCGATATATTTTGCAGGGACGTTGAGACGTAATTTAGAGCGGCGTGACGGAGAGATGGGATATTGGGCGTCAGGTAGGATATTGATCGTCGGGATGGAAGGTGACGGATAAAAGAGATGACGTCGGGACGTCTAGCGTCGAGACGTCGGGAGATAGGTCGTCGGGCTGAAGAGCGTCGGATAAAGGTAGGATATGAACTGCGTGGGTTTAGGAAAAGTACTGAACTTAAAATATACTAGATTTAAAGAATAATACGACTGGAGCTAGAAATCAACTGAACTGAGTTTGATTTCTTAATGAATCTCGAGTCCCCTTAAATCCGGTCTTTATACACAATTTAATTACTTTTTTGTGACGTCAGTTTCTCTTATGAACGAATTTGGGTGGACAGAAGGTGGCTGATTTATTACTTGCCTTAAAAAGTTTGTGTATCGAAAACAACATTATTATTCAAAACTGACTTAAGATAAGTGCGTTAAGTGTTTCAATGATTATTACTTCGTGACAACTTATGTTGTAATGTAGTTATAGATCGGGTTCCCAGACACTTGTAAGAAATTGGATCTCTTACGGGCAGGGTTAAATATATTATTTATTAGGTGTCGTAAATAAGATTTAATTAACTGAAAGATTTTTCTTTAAATAATGGATTTTGAATTTAATAAGAATGCAACTTTTTTTTAATAAAATAGAATTAATAAATTATTAAGGTACCTGCATGCGGTAGGTTACAATATGATCCATTAAAGCTGTACATTCTAAAGGAGGGAACACATTAGGAAATCGCGGTACCGTCGCATTGCCGACTGTGCTAGTCTCGATTGCATCACGGTCTCCGAGATTCTTCGGAAAAGATAGGAGCGAGCACAGCCAGCTCAAGAATACCAAGTGGAAATGCATGCATTTTAAAATATGTGAAAGAACTTCACTGCGCGCGGTCCAGACTAGCAAAATTGGCGATGTCTAATGCGTTCCTTCCTTTAAGATTTCTTGAACCATAACCAAATATATAAATATGTATCCTTTTTTATTTAAGTTTGGACTGATGCACTTGACGAAGATACGGTTAAATCCTTTAATGAAATATTTTGCATATCTTGAAGAAGGACTACCGATTAAATTTGAGGCGATACATTTTTTGAACGCAAATTACGTGTTGGATAGATTTTTGGCTATGGTCAGGACTTTTTTATTGCCTCACATAATGAAGAAGGTAAGAAGTACTGTTAATTTCTGTATAATAACATTACCAAAATTTTTAACTTTATTTTATGTGAAACCTATATACTTTCTTCATCTTTTATTTATACCTAACTAGATTTTTTCTACGTAAATTGAAAGAAATTAATATACATTTATCAATTTAAATATATCATTTCCACTCCGGGCCTGTCTTAAGTAAACACTTGCGTTCAAAGCTCACACATATAAAAAAGTACAACTTCCATCCTTTGAGTAACAACTGTAATAATTGGCATTATTATTATTTGAAAAATTTACCAAAAATTCTAAAAAAGTATTTTAATGTTTAAAATTAAAAAGAGAGACACGTATGAAAACAAAACAAACAATCAGGTTATTAATCTAGTCAAAAATATAACCATCATGTAAATTTTGCTTTATATAGAGAGGAGACAAAGAAAGACTCTCAATCGAGTGCGGACTAAAGTCCAGAACTTTCGCCGAGGGCGAAAGCTCTCGTTTTTTGGGTCTCTTTGAGTCCCAAAACAAAGTAAGTGTAGAGTAAAGTTTTTGTGCAGCGATTCGAGAATTATGGGTAAATATTTTTAACTTATTTTTAAAGTGCTTTGTTTGCTAATAATTAATTTGATTTACATATAAATGCCAATTTTACATTTTCGTTCCGAATTATCATATTTATCTTATACATATTTTTATATTATTATGTAGTTAAAGTTTTGTAGTACTTTATTCCCTAAATGTAATTTAATTCATTCTTTCTTAAGACTATTAGTCAAATTTTGTACTTATTGTAAATATACATTTGTTAATGTTTTAATAATTTTTATTCCCTTAGTACTAAAAGAGTCTAAAACTATATGACAAGAACCGCTCGACTATGCTATTAAGGGATAATTTTTGTTCTTATAAATTATTTTTTTTATTTGCCACTGGTGAATCGATGTTCCTTCAGGACTCCAGGACCCTTTGGCTGGTGACAGTGCTGCCCAAATCCCTTAATAGTATATTAACAACAGTAGCTAAAGACCTATCAGTAGTTACAAATGGTTTTTGGACAGTTGGTTGTTACATTTGGTGACATTTAGTGACAAGTGGCGGTTATATCGCGTGAATTTAGAGATGGGTTGTAACGAATTCGTAAATGTATTTAACAGTTACAGATTTGCTAATATCCATCTCTAAATTCCAGTGTAACACTGGAACCACCTAGAACTTTAGAGACGTTGTAACCGAACTTCGATTTTAGTTCAAGGACGACTTACCCAAGTGCGACTCAGCTGAGTTTTGTTAATAAATACGGGCCATAATGTTACGCAGCACCCTGCAGTAGCCTGCGGCTATCATAGAAAACGTACAGATAGAAAAAGAAGTGGAATGTTACTCATCGCTGCGGTCGTCATAAGTAAAAGTACAAGTAAAAGAAGATATATTTCAGAAATGTCCAGAAATGGCATTACCCGTCAAGAATATTCTAGATGACAGTTCGAGAAGGTTTAAGAAGGTCAAGAAAGCTATATAAAACGACGACCTGACGTCATAGTTTTAGTTTTATGATAGACGTTACATGTTAATATTATCAGTTGTATCGTTATTGTTAAAGTTGAATTGAGTTACTGTAAAGTTGAATTGAAATTAATTGTGATACCAAAACCTAGTGTAACATTGGTGTCAGAAGTGGGATATAAAGTAAAAGTTCATGGTAAATACTAGATCCACTGAGTACGAAGCAGGCATGGATACCTCAGGCCCACCAGCATGGTTTGTGAAGATGGAAGAGGAGAGAATAAGGCGAGAAGAGGAAAAGGAAAGGCATAAGAAAGAAGAAGAAGAGAAGAGGGAAAAGTGAGAACATGAGAAGGAAGAGAGGCATAGAAAAGCAAAGGCGGAAATTATGAAGGGCTTAGTACAAATTCAAGAAAACTTCAGGCAAAAGGTAGGTCAGCTAAACAGTCGAGTAGATCTTCTAGAACAGCAACAAGAGAATCTAAAAACTACTTTAGAGCAATAACAAGAGAATTTAAAGACTAATTTAGAACATCAACAAGAGAATTTAAAGACTAATTTATAATATTAACAAGAACAGGCTAGAATAGAGTTGGAAAGGCAAATTAGAGCTGAAATGGCCAAGTTAGAGAGAAAAATTCGTAGCCAAGCTTCCGTAAGCAATATTCAAGCTGAAAATACTGCCTCATATTCATCTGTAACCGACCCAAGCCGTATTCAAACCCAAGTCTCACAAAATTATAGTAGCAAGACCCTGAAACCACCCATATTTGACGGTCAGAGAACATGGGAAACATATCGACTCCAATTTGAAGCTGCAGCTAGAGCCAATGGCTGGACCGAGAAAGAGATGGCGGCTTCATTGATAGTGTCACTGCGAGGTCAAGCAGCAACCAATTTACAGTTACTTCCCCAAAAAGAACCCAGTTATTTATCTCTCGTACAAGCTTTGGAGACAAGATATGGCCATCAGCATTTAAAACAGGTATATCAAAGCCAGCTAAAAGTTCGTGGTCGAAAACACAATGAGAGTCTACAAGAATTTGAAGCCGATATTAAAAGATTGTTGCATCTGGCCTATCCACAGGCACCTAAAGATTTCTTAGATCAAATCGGCATACAAGCATTTATTGATGGACTACAGGACGTGGAAATGCAGCAGGCTCTTCGGCTGCAACACCACAAGACATTGAGTGGGACACTTATTGCAGCCCAGGAATACGAAGCAGCAAAAAGTATATCTAGATTTTCTCGCGCAAAATTGAGAGAAATTCGATTTTAAGAAAGTGAAGACACCACTACTAATACTATTCTTCAACCTACCCTCTCAAAAATTTTAGATATCCTGCAAGGTATGCAACGAAATAGCCAAAATGGAAGCAGAAGATGCTTCAATTGTGGAAGAATTGGACACCTTCAAAGAACCTGTCGAAGCAGGGCTTGTTCTATGAATCGAAAATCGGAGAATGATGCTAGAAATTCACCTAAATCAACCTCCCGCCCGTCACGAAGTCCAACAAGAAATAATTATAGTAGATATGCCTCACGGAGAAGCCGGTCACCCACACCTAGCCGGCTTTCTAACAATAGTCAGGGACAGGCGTCGGCTGTAACAGAGGCCCCAAAATTCGCACTTACACCTTAAATAAAAACAAACAAAATCTATTGGTCAGGGGGCATATCGATAACCAAGAAGGCACCATTTTCCTTGATACTCGTGCAAATAAGTCTTTCATTCGAACAGGGATCCTGCATAGAAAACCACGACCAACTCGAAGAAGCTTAGTTCTGGAAACAGCTACAGGGCACACTACTCCTATTCTAGGCGAGATATCAGCAACCGTACAGATTGGTAATGGTAAAACCCTGATAGAACACTTATTTCTGGTAGCCGATATTAAAGATCAGTGTGTCCTGGGTATGGACATTATGCAAAATAAGTTTATCATCGACCTTCAAAACAAGATCTTGGTAATTGGAAACGAGGAAATTGTACTAAATTAGGAAGAAAAGACTCAACCGATAAAGGTCCTAGTAAACGAAGACATAGAAGTACCCCAAAATTCTGAAGCTGTCGTCTCGGCGAGACTTAGCGAGAAATCATATGGTTTACATGTGGGCATTGTGGAAAGTGACGGAATTCTGGTAGCTAGATGTCTTGTTAACGTTGATAAACTAATTCCAGTAAGGGTTGCCAATTTATCGAAGAGACCATTCAAAGTGAAGAAGAGACAAAAAATAGGGCTCTATACACCGGTGTAAAACATAATCAAGTGCGAAGACCGTTCCAATGGGAAAGCCACCACAAGTAACTCAGTAACTCTAATGGAAACGGTTTTAAAAGGATTAACCTGGGAAACTTGTCAATACTCTGTTTTTAAACTAAGAGGAGCGATTTGAATTTAAGTTGGCAATTCTGTAGCCTTCTGATTGGTCAGATTACAGTCAGTTTCACACATTACTTTTTAGCATGAACAAAGTATATTAACCGTTGAGTAGCGACATAAAGCGTCGGTGCCTTTGATCTTGGGTGGTGCAAATTTTCTTTCTCTCTCTTTTGACGTTATTGACGGAACGACACACTAAAACACTGCTCGAATTATGAACTGGTCTTGAATGTGATGTTTACACTGCTCGACGTAATTTGAAGTAAAACTCTTTTGTAGTTTACATTTATAATAATGGTTTGGTCATTAGGCAGTTTTATATTTATGAGTATTTAACTTATGTAATAAATATAAAAATATATATCACTATTGATAAATTTCAATTTTTTTACCTACGTCCGGATGAACTAGAGACTTGAAAGTTGGTAGGTGCACAGGGTTTTGATTTTTGATAACAATAGAAATTATTACTTATGGACCTTCTTATTTATTAATCGAGTTGTCTCAAACTTTAAATTTCGCGTTGTTTAAACATGTCGCTGAATACAATTTTTAACTAAAACGAATTCCTATATCAGCTGCCGGACTAAAGTGAAAGGGGTTGTTTACATCTTTAGAAGACGTCTCGCCTCTCTATTTCGCGTCGGCGCACTAGAATTCGGTTCCCCAGCTGTCGCTACTCAACGTTTAATATACTTTGGCATGAACATCAGCTAATAATTGATATTGTTGACAGTTCTGACATTTTATAATTTGATATCTCATCCATTACTTAGTTTTTACTTTATTTAATAAATAATAGTTCTTCAGTAAGCAATTGTATTGAAAATCTACAATTATGGATCCTTCTACACTGAGTACTATTAAAGGTAGCAATTCCTGAAAAGCCTTACAAGAAAGGGAAGACACCTTATTATTTTACACATGCTGATTCTGAAGGTTTTGTAGAAAATGCATTATTGGTTTTTGAAGGTAAAAAGATGGGAGATTACCATGAAGAGATGAATTCCGAAGTATTTTGGAAAAAAATAATTTTATTACTGATTTTTTAAAACTAAAAATTGATGAATTTTTAACCAAAATGATTAAAATGTAACTAAATTTTATTTATTAGAATAGA